TAGACGCCAGATAGGGTCCATACAATAGCATGCAAGTTATACGACATAACTGTCTTCTTTAGCTAGTAAAAAAAATTGGATAAAATAAACGTACAATTCTACGTCCTGAATTTCCTGAAAATATACTTTCGTAGTTCTGCAAATCCAAATTGCATGAGTCGTGTCATGGGTTGTCAAGGTTGATTACACATTTCATAATTGTAATGCAATTTCGATGATATTCCAAGTGCAGTTACATCCTCCTTACTTCACTCAAAAATGAAATAAACATTAAATTTCTCACCGTCTTTTCGATAATTGCACTTGAAAGATTTCATATTTTTCCCACATTAGGATAAAAATCCTTCAATGACAAGCACGCCGATGTCAATACACTTCACTACGATTAAATTGGCAGACGATGCTGGAATCCGATATAAGTTACTTCATGTAGATAAATTCAGACCATAATCACGAAATAGCGCCGAATCGAAAAAAAAAAAAACATACCAAAACGTAATCATTTCCAGATCAACTGGAACAGTTGTTGCAATGCGCATTCATTAACAGTATTATTGCAAATATCAATTTTAAGTAGACAAACGCAATTTTCTTTCGAAACTTACATCTAGCGCGCGACCAACTTCAAATCTGTCAGGGCGGAGGTACGTGAGCATTAATAATGTTGTTATGTACTGATGCATCTACGCCTGTATATTTAGTTTTTAATACGGCATACATTCTGTTACTTTGTTTCTTGTTGTGTATTTTGCTTATGTATGTAAGCCATGGGTAGAATAAGAAAATTAGCCTATAATAAAAGGTTACTGTATTTGTATGGTTAAATAGGACCCAGCTGGAGTTCTGAATCCAGGAAGGAAAAGGAATCTTACTGGATACGCCGCCTTAAAACATTGATACCATGCGTTCTAAACAAGAAGACTAAATAAAGAAAGTTATGTACTAATATAATTATTCTTTGCAGCCGACAGTTTCTTTTCAAACTTTTATAAATCTTTTTAGTATCCTTTAATTGCTACTATAAGAATAAAATATTCGGTATAGAATCAAATATCCGGGATATAATCTACGTTTAATAAATCTACACAATAGATGTCGCTTTGACTCATAGATTTGTAGGAAAATAGAAACATCTTTCAGTATTTGCAACAAGTTTATACAGGCAAGTTGAGACATAATGTATCTATAAGTTTAATTCATGTAGAGAGAGAGCCATGTAGAAATTTATAAACACAACGTTTTTTGTTTATTTGTTTGCTTAGTCCATGTTTTGTATATGCCTTTGAAAAAGACTCATTTAGAGTCAAAATCGCACAGGATAGTTAGTTACTAGTTTTGCACTGTTTGTCGTCAGTTTATAGTTTATTGCATCTATCTCAATCAATCCCTGACATACGTGATCTCTTGCTGAATCCCGTGCGCTTGAAAGGGCTGTTATTAGCCATATGATTTGTATTCTTTATATATATAAAAGCTGTATAGTTATGACAAACAATATTGTTCCATTATTTTCCAAAATGTATCATTTTGCGTTCATACTTGATTATTCTTTTATTTATTTACTTCTTATCACGATTGTGAAATTTTGTTATAATTGCTTTATTTTTAAAAAAAAATTCAAGATAGTTTTCACATAAGATACCTTTGATGCACTTTGTATTTTTCTTTGGACTTTTCTTTAAATTTACAATTTAATATGTTTGTAAGCTATCTATAAATAAAAAGTAAAAAGAATTACATGTATTTGAATAACAAAGTCAGCATCAACATTCACTATTCAGTGCTAAATATGTACTGAGTCTTACTTCTTAAACCTTTTTTATACCATAAGTTTATTAACAATGATTTACATTTTACTGAATAGTGAACTGCTGCTTGGAATGGAAAATGCCTTTAAAATTAGCTTTAGCATTTCTTTGCTTACTTATGTTTTTTTTCAAAAACCTTTTCTTTTATTCTTTTTCCCTACAGAACCATAAATCCCTGTCTTACTACCCTTCTTTTTTGTCATACTATATTGAAAACTTCGGCACTTCGACAATCATATCAGGGAGGTTATCGACCATTAATAGATTAAAGTATTGATATGTAATTGCAACTTAAAGGTAGACCTTATTAAAATGTCACAACAAAAAATCCACGATGAACGTGGTAAATGTTTCATAAATTACAATAATGAACAGTATACCTAAAATAGCACCGGCGATCTGTCAGTGCTTGGGAATGCTCATGTAGAGAAAAGCTGTCTTTAATTTCATTCAAGGGGCAGCAATGTGATATATCAACGATTGCTAATGTTCATGAAGAAAAGGTCTGTTTATAATTTCATTCAAGGGCGATGCGATCTGTCAAAGTTTGGGAGTGTCCATCAAGAGAAAATCTATCTTCAATTTTTCAATTTCATTCAGAGGCGATGCGATCTGTCAGCGTTTGGCTGTGCTTAAAAAGAGAAAGGCGGTCTTTAATTTCATTCAATAGGCGCATTCTTTATCTCGGGACTTGGGAATGCCCACTAAGAGAAAGTTGCCTTACATTTCATTTAAGGTTAAAAGAAAATTCTTATAGGTTTATTACCCACTTTACAATAGAAGCAATATGGGCCCCCGAGTGGCAGGGGGTATTGTAAAGCGCTTACTGTTACAGATCGCTGTCATTTCACCTCTGTCTGTGTGAATTCGAGTCTCGGGCTCGGATAGTGTTGGTATGTGAGAAAGCTTGCCGGTAGCTTTTCGTGGGTCGCTGGTTTTTTCTGGGGATTTTTCCGGGTTCTTCTTTCACAATTTATACTGGTCGCCATTTTGTAGCCTATCTTGTGCTGAAAAATGGCGTTAAACCCAATAATAACAAGCACAAAGTAAGATAAATGTTTTCAGCAAGATGCAGATATAAATGTATATGTAGCTCACACGAGTCAGCTTCCAGAGATGTAATCATGATGTTTAATAAAGACCTTAAAGTTCAATAACATCGAGAAAGAAATGAAATGTGTTGTAATTTACTGGGAATTCAACTGAATTTAAAATAAAATAAGATTTAATAACTGGCGTGATCTTAATTTAGTTCATCGTAAACAAAATATTTAGAAAGTAGAAATAATTTAACGTTTATTAAACCATTATTATTTTACGTGATGACTTCAGTTTATTTTATGTGTAATCTTGATAACCCATAGCCAAAGAAAAATTAAAAAAATGCCCTGACTGACATAGATTCCTTGACCAATGTCTAAGATACACTCGACACAGGAGAAATCAAATAAAGCATGCTTGATTTGATTCGTTTCTTATTTCTGGATGTCGAACAAACTTAGCAAATGACAAAAAAATTACATTAGGTTATATGCAGGTCCACTCAATTATTACCAGAACTACAGCGTAATAACTTTACACACGGTAAAGGTGCCTGTAATTTAATTGAAGTTTTATAACGGATCTCAATTATGCCACAACAGTGAAAGATACGATTAATGCAATAGAACGACAATACTTTTTGTGTGTTGAAGAATTAAATGCTATAAATGTGTCCGATATCCATGACTATTGACATTGTATATTTCCAAAAGCTTTACAAATAGAAATAAGGTGCGGAACTATCGTATTTGTTACGCATAAGAAATGGAGAAAATGGAAACTAATCAAGTATAAGGTTGACAAGAAAACAATTTTCATAAAAAAATTTGAAAATAATTGAGTTTGAAAATTCAAGACAGGATAAACTATAGGGCATTAAAGAAGGCAAAAATCATCAAAATAGATACACACCTAAAAAAAACTTTATAAATTAAACGATTAGAATGTTAGAGACCTCAGAAAAAAATGTTTGGTTTTTTTTATTTATTTTTTTTTGCTTTTTTTTATCAAAAACAAATTTTGAATAAAAGTAGTAGTTTCTGTTGTAATCTATATTAAGAATACGTAGACATAATTAATGCAGATTTTTGACTAATTATTAAGCGATTGTAATATCCCCAAAGAAAAACAATAAGTGTTTACAAAAAAATTAAAATATATGAAATACTTGGTGAACTCAGAAAAGTGAAAAATCACGAACGAAAATAATATCTGATGGATTTGCTGTGGATTTGTATAGTATCTGATGGATTTGCTGTGGATTTTTTGTATTATTTGGAATGGCGTTAAATACTTTATCTTGACATTAATTAAAAATGTCAATAATAATACTGACCCCATGTAGAATTTGTTGTTATTTCAGACTGCATAACCCCCAAAATGTAAAACTTTTGTTAAACACAGTAATATCTAAACCATGAACAAGATTCATTAAAGTGAGATGCATATGCGATAGCGTGAAATTAATGATCGCTTTATTGCACTATTCAGAAAAATGATAATCCTGGTCAACAATTTCCTAATGACTTTGCAAAAGTATTCGATATTGTATCATCGCTATTTCTGTAACAAATTATAACGTTTCGAGTTTGGTAAGTCTATACAAAAATGGAATAAGATATTTCTTATACATACATCTTCAGCAATTATACAGAATAATTTACTGTCAGATATCTTTGCGGTAAGATGGTGCTGTAGGCAAGGAGATTATATCTTGCCATACATGATGATACCTTATTATTAATTTTATAATATGTCATCTAGAGATTAAAGGTACAGAAGTAATAAAGAATAAAATGGCACATAGTTTGCAGATGATACCACCTTGAACCTTGTCAGTTTTCAAATATTTTAATATTCCGCTCTCAGTCTATTGGGTTTTTTTTGTCTTTAAAATCTGTCCTCTCGGTAATTTATGACCAAACGAAAGTAATATTTGTAGGAAATTATTTTTAACGTAGCTTTAAAAAATTTTCAGTCATTTTGCTGCAATGTCTGCAGTGTGGCAGTTTATAGTGATGTCTAACACTGGGACATCATGCTGCAAACATGTAGCATGACGTCCTACCCAGTTACATTATCCTGACACCAGACCGATCAGTCCTAACACCGACCTCCTAATGTTAGAACCAGTTTTGTAAGTCTTTGGTATGATTTGACCGGGGCTCGAACCCACGACCTAGCGCATCTGAGGCTGACAGTCTAACCACTAGGCCACCGGAGCGATAGGAAGTAAAAACTTTTATAATGATATAAACTCAGTTTATGGGGAATCCCGATTTAGCCATTTTGGTATAACTTATTTGGTTACTTAGAGTAAATGATATTTGTCAATATTCAAACATGCATGCTTAAATTTCAGTCCTAACTTGCTCAATGTTCAAAAAGAATTTTGAATCCTATTGGAGGAGTTGCTAGCCATCTCCAAACTTAATCATATGTTATTGTTCTTGCACATATCGACTGATAATACATTACAAATTTTTTTCAATTTGTTTGGCAGAATAAAAAGGGAAATATTTCGGTAGGGCTATATATGGTAAGACAACAAATTGATTTAGGCACTGAAGAGCATGAAAATAGTTTAAGTAAAAAAATTGTTGGGTTGATATCTTTAGGAAACTGAGCAAATTAGCGATATGGCAGTTGTTCAGATGGATCATGTGAAGAAACTAAGAAATGACTTAACATATAATTGTTGAAGGGATGTATTCAGTTCTTGGATTAATGTTTACAACCCTCCCAACCCAAAGCCTTCCCCAACCCCCCAAAAAAACAATGTGATTCATTGGAAGAATGTTTTAATTTGCCTATCAGAAACAATGTGAATAGTGTTGTTGCAAATAAAGCTATGTTTAACAAATTTTGCCTTAACAAAGGTAAGCTACCATTAGTACATTTAACAACTTCATCACAACACTTAATATTATAAAGAGAGGTCACTTACAATTGTATTGGTCTTTGTAACAGCGCGCTCGCGCACACATACACACACACGCACATATATATGTGTGTGTGTGTTTGTGTGTGTGTGTGTGTGTGTGTGTGTGTGTGTGTGTGTGTGTTCGATCCAGAATAATATAATCCAATTCGTTCTTACTCTGATACGTCACCGTGCATACCGATACCGTGAATACCCTGCATAGCGATAACGTGCGTACCATGCATACCAATACCGTGCATACCCTGCATACCGATGCTTTGAATACCCTGATTGTCAATACAGTGCATACCCTGCATACCGATTCTTTGAATACCCTGATTGTCAATACAGTGCATACCCTGCATATCGCTAAAGTGCATACCCTGCATACCGTTACCATGAAAACCTGCATACTGATACCGTGAATACCCTCTAAACCGATATAGTGCATACCCTGCACACCAATACTGTGAATACCCTGCATACTAGTACAGCGCATACCCTGCATACCGATACCGTGAATAACCTGCATATCAATACAGTGCATACCCTGCATATCGATATCGTGAATACCCTGCATACCGATACCATGCATAGCCTGCATAGCGATACCGTGCAAACCATGTATACCGATACAGTGCAAACACTATATAGCGATACCGTGCAAACCCTGCATACCATTACTGTACATACTTTGCATACCGATACAGTGCATACCTTGCATACCGACATTGTGCATACACTATATACCGCATCTGTGCAAACCCTGTATACCGATACCGTGCAAATCCTGTATGCCAATACCATGCAAACCCTGTATACCGATACCGTGCAAACCCTGTATGCCAATACCATGCAAACCCTGTATACTGATACCGTGCATACACTTTATACCAATACCGTGCATACACTTTATACCGATACCGTGCAAACCTTTCATACCGATACCGTACAAGCACTGTATACAGATACCGTGCAAGCAGTGTATACCGATACCGTGCAAACCCTGCATACCGATATCGTGCAAACCCTATATACCGATACCCTGCATACCCTGCATATCGATACCGTGCAAGCACTGTATACCGATACCGTGCAAACCATGCATACCGATACCGTGCATACACTATATACCGCATCTGGGCAAACCCTGTATACCGATACCGTGCAAATCCTGTATGCCAATACCATGCAAACCCTGTATACCGATACCGTGCAAACCCTGTATGCCAATACCATGCAAACCCTGTTTACTGATACCGTGCATACACTTTATACCAATACCGTGCATACACTTTATACCGATACCCTGCATACCCTCCATACCGATACCGTGCAAGCACCATATACAGATACCGTGCAAGCAGTGTATACCGATACCGTGCAAATCCTGCATACCGGTATCGTGCATACACTATATACCGATACTGTGCAAAACCTGTATACCGATGCCGTGCATACACTGTATACCGATACCGTGCATACACTTTATATCGATACCGTGCATACCGATACCCTGCATACCCTGCATACCGATACCGTGCAAGCACTGTATACCGATACCGTGCAAACCCAGCATACCGGTATGGTGCATACACTATTTACCGATACCGTGCAAAACCTGTATACCGATGCCGTGCAAACCCTATTCCGATACCGTGCATACACTGTATACCGATACCGTGCATACACTTTATATCGATACCGTGCATACCGATACCCTGCAAACCCTGCATACCGATACCGTGAAAGCACTGTATACCGATACCGTGCAAACCCTGTATATTTATACCGTGCAAACCCTGTATACCGATACCGTGCATACACTTTATACCGATACCGTGCATACGCTTTATATCGATACCCTGCATACCGATACCCTGCATACCCTGTATACCGATACCGTGCAAGCACTGTATACCGATACCGTGCATACATTTTATACCGTTACCGTGCATACACTGCATACCGTGTATACCGATACCGTGCAAGCACTGTATACCGATACCGAGCAAACCCCGCATACTGATACCGTGCATACACTGTATGCCGATACCGTGCAAACCCTACATATTGATACCGTGCAAACCCTGTATACCGATACCGTAATACCCTGTATACCGATACTGTGCAAACCCTACATACCGATACCGTGAATACCCTGCATACCGATACCGCGAATACCCTGCATACCAATACCGTGCTTACTTTACATGCTAAGATCGTACTTACGCTACATACAGTCCCATAAGAGAATATTAATAAACGCATTCATCGAGATGTATTAAGTTCGTGCTAATATTATCCTTATAACTACATCATGTACGATGTGAGATTTTTTAATTTTAGCTCAGAAGTGTGAAAACCCATTCACAGAATTGTTCTCAAAAGCATTCGAGGCTTTAAAATGCCATGGTACTTGTATATAAAACTCCACATAATATTACCTGTAAAAGACTATTTAAACAAGATGGGTGTAATCCAAGTACCCAGTGTATTTCTTATAAAGGAGAAAACAGTCAACATTTGTTTTGGCACTGTAATCGTATTAATGAGTTATAGTCAACCCTTTCTGCGCAAGTAATACATAATAATAATAATAATAATAATAATAATAATAATAATAATAATAATAATAATAATAAAATTAAATTCACGCATCAACAAACAATTGTTAAAAACTTGTCAACAACATGGAAATCCAAAATTCATCATTTTGTTACTAAATATACATATATAGTTAAGGTGAAACATAAAACAATTGAAATCTACAAGATCTGATTGAAATTTTAAAACATTTACTATCTTTCCGAAGTCTATGTCGCAGAGAAAATAACAATTTAGTTTAAAAAATCTACGAGAAATGGTGTGTATTGAGTGGAATCTTTCATCACAATAGAAATAATTCTATTCAGTGGAACCTAGCAGGAGTTAAAACAACACAAGTTATTTGAAAGGCTATCATCGTTGCTAAGTTAAATCACGTTTCACAAGTTCCACAAAAAATCTATTTTAGCTTCTATGCTTGCTATTGCTTTCTGTTTTAATTTCGCTTTTTTTAAATTGACGTTTTTGTTTGTAATTAGTTTTAAACCTCAGATAATAGTTCAAGTAAATTAAATGAATAACAAAATTATTCAAATCTTTATCTGTTTCAATGTTTATTAACATTATGTACTCGAATTCTGCAATTGCCAGTTGTCATCATCCTTGGAATAAGATTTGTGCAGCATTGAAGGAAGTATAATGGTCGTTTAATCCGTTATTCTTCATTACACTCACAGACTTTATTTAGTATAGGTGACTTTCTCCAAAACCAGTCAATGAGAGACTCGATCAATGACTGAATCGTCAGCCCACAGAGCACACCAGAGACCAGAAGCAGAAATACGCGTAATATATTGCCTTTAAATATTAATTTAATTTGATAATATAGTTGTCACTCCTTGGCGTAAAGCGTCATACTTTTACTCCATTGTGTAAAGTGTCACACGTTTACAACATTGTGTAAAATGTCATACTTTTACTCCCTTGTGAAGATGTCATACTTTTACTCCCTAGTGTAAGATGTCATACTTTAACTCCATTTTGTAAAGTATCATACTTTTACTTCCTTGTGTAAAGTGTCATACTTTTACTCCCTATTGTAAGATGTCATACTTTTACTCCCTAGTGCAAGATGTCATACTTTTACTCTATTTTGTAAAGTGTCATACTTTTACTCCCTTGTGTAAAGTGTCATACTTTTACTCCCAAATGTGAGGTGCCATACGTTTTTTCCAATGTGTAAGATGTCATACTTTTACTCCATTGTTTAAAGTGTCATACATTTTACACCACCAGGATATACATCCACCCATTAAATACAAATCTCTTGAGATACATCCATGTTTATGTCATCATTTTGATGCAACCAGCAACTGTTTTGGTGTACGCATTTTACGACCCTAATGTACAGGCTTCCTAACAGTGTATGATAGGTATGAAACAAAATTGCTATTAGAGAGACCAGTGTATGTATAGACAGATAGATTTATAGATCCATATGTTATTCTTTTTCACATATTTACATAACCCTAAAAGCTCTGTCTATATTTATTAGAAAGATTTCTTTATTATTCTAATATCAATTCCCACAGCATCAAAGCTTCACGACAATTTCACTATTTTCACAGCTTGAGCAAATACAAAGAATACAATGCAAAATTTAGCAAAGTTTCGTTTCTATTTACACTTCCAGAATGTTGTTTGTCGAACCAATCTGACCGTGCGCGCACGGTTTTGTGGTTAAATTACTTTAT